CGATAGGAGGGTCGCCCCACCCCCCCCCCACCCCCCCCCCCGCTAAATACGGCCCTGACTGGATGCGCCCTTGCCGTTCCTTATACGTCTCCGCGCAGAATTCATTTCGAACACATTATAGGCGGACTTCCTGAATCCGGTTCAAGGTTGCTCGATGGGCCAAATGGATTGGTGCGTAATTTTGAATGCAACAGCTGTTGACCTTCGGATCGGCCGCTCCCTTCGGTTCTCGAAGGAGTGTGTCAGCTGGTCGCCGTTTACGCGTTGTCTGTTGCAACATCCAGAGCCGCTATTTGACCGCTGATGTTTTCCTAGTCAAACGACGTGAAAGAATTCTAAAGCTTCTAAAGTTAGAGTCTAATTTTTCTTCGTGCTTTGGAATCTAGCGGAAATCGCAGCTCATGCTTTCTTTAAGGTAACGACTAAGCATGCTACTCTCAGTGGCGCTCTTGTTTGGCGCATGGACACTTAGCGGAGTACATTCGTCACTGTGCGGATATACGCCGATAAAGCCGCTTCAGAACGTCAGTGACGCCGACGCCCGCCCTCATTCGTGGCCCTGGTCCGCCATTGTGTGCGCAGGCAACTGTAAGCGTTTCTTGACTGAGGAATCCGCATCGTGCGAGAGTGGAGCGGAAATCGGGCTTCAGAATCTGTTATGTTAAAATATTAATTTAATTTTGGACAGCTATTTTTTTAAATTTAAGAACCAGGTCGGAATCGGCCAGCGGCGTATCAAGAATCCGAATTTAGGGCGGGGGGGGGGGCAAGGGCTAAGGGTGGGCCAAGATTTTGAGCGACAAAAAATGCCCCTTGGTCCCCCCTTACCATCATAAGGGTCCCCCCTTTGCTACTTTTCGGACCCTCCGTATTTTAGGGGGGGGGGGGATCCCCCCTGCCCCAAGGGTCGGTACGCCACTGGAATCGGCTCTGGATCAGCGTGCTCGCAGCGCTGCTTGTCGGACCAAGCTCAAAATAAATCGAAAACTTAGGTAACGTCTCGTGGGCAAATCAGCAAAACCAGGGCACGATCATCGGAAAACGCTGGGTACTGTCCGTTCAAAGCAATTTTTTAGCCCTGACCCGGGCCTAAACCGGCCGGGCCGGTTCTGCCGAAATCGAGGCCCGGCCCGGGCCGCCCGGCCAGGCCTGGCCCGCGGGCTTAGAGCCCGGTTGCGCATGGTTGGGGCTGGTCCCACAATGAGCAAAAAACAGAACCGGTATTTATCACTTTTCAGGTGATCGCCGGCGGCCAACTACTGGATCGTCGCGGGCATCGCTGGTACCAGTACGGCGTCCTCATTTCAGACTTCAACCCATACATGGGCTCATGGGGTAAGAATGGCGCACAGTGATCGGCGTTCGGCCTAAAAAACCGAAATTTCGAGCGTATCTGTCCGCCTTATAGAAGTTTTCGTGCGGACACGGATTCTATGCGACTGGATCGCCAAGACGACGAACAAAGAGGTGCGATGTAAGAAGTAGGCACTTCGACCGTGAAAATCATCCTTCACTCTGTCAACATTTGAATTAGGATTATTATGCGTACTACCTTTGCGCTTCGAATAAATGGTCGAAGTGCAACGCACGAGAGTTTCTCGACGAAATTCTTTTCGAACCATTGGTCCAAGTACGGACATTGCATTCTTACGTTCAAAAAAATTCGTTGCGCCTGCTTCCGATTTACTGTTTTTTTTCCGAAGCGGTTGCAAGGTTCCGTCTGTTTATAAAACTACAAAACCGAAAATACGTACGCAATGGGATAAAAGGGATGTTATGCTTGGCTTGCGACGAAAATTCCAACGAAGTCTTGCGACCGATTGCAGGACATTGGAACTGGACGCTTTGTCAGAAAATGTATCTTAAGTCTCTACAGATTAGAGGATACAAATACATAACACCTCTCAAAACGTAGCTTTCACATTTAATGTGCAAAGTCCGCTAGAACTCGGAAACCTTGTGCGACGATGTCTCTCACCATAGAGCTAGCTCATAAAGAGCGCGGCTCGTTGTTGACGAGAGGGCAGGCAATCAAGCGACGTCGTCGAGGGGAAACCAATATTAAAGCGCTTATCCGTTTCCGGCTTAGTTTCCACTACGCACATCTCGCAACCCACGTGATCCGCTACGTGAGATCTCTCGCGCACATTTCCCTTGTGGCGCTAATTAGCCGTGCTTGCGGCGCTACGCATTGAGTGCCGCTTTTCGAAGCGACAAGTTTGGGCCGAGTGTAAGCGTTTTAAAATGCACTCCGCGCGCTTTTGAGTTTCTTTCGATTATTTTATTTAGGTATTTTATTTTTTAAATAAAATATAAAATAAAATGTTTATTTTTAATATAAAAAATAAATTTTTAATATTTTATTCAGGTTTTATTTACTTTTCTTAAAAAGACACATGAATTAATGCTTAAGAGAAGAAACGTTAGGCTTATTTCCGCTTGTCAAAGAAGAGGGACCTTTGGCTTTATCGTCGCCTGACGTCGTTTTTATCCACCACCCAACTACGTAAGCAGGCTATTCCTTAAGTTTAGACTATTGTTGACTAACGAGCCGCACTTGCGCAAATGTACGCCGTTTTTAAGGCCGTAACAGCGATCACCAGCGGACTCATTTTAGAGGCATTCGTCGACCTGTAACACTAGCTTAGTTTTCCTCCGATTTTGTCGCTTCACAAGCCTATAGTCTTCCATAGCTCCTGCAAATTCGTCCCCGAACGCATACCTCCGCGGTAGCAGCGCATCCGGTCTTCGCCCGCCAGACGGTTTGGTCATTAGCCGGCGTTGTTGAGCGTCTTAAGTGAGCCGACATTGGCGCACTCGAGTGTCGTCCATTCGCTTGCGCATTCGACTAACGAGCGTTGTGTTTACTTCCTCCTGGCTGCGTACGAGCGGCCTTCGTTAGTCTTCCAAAGACCTTGCTACTCTGCACTTTTACGCCGACATCGGGTGCGTCTCGGTCTAAAAATTCGTAGTCGAGGATTTTCCTTGTGCGACGGTCGTTGCGCTAATCGGACCTCGTGGAAGATATGAGATCATAAACCTCTTTGCGAACCGGTTCCCTGGCGCACTCGTTAATGACGATCCCATTAGTGAGAAGATGCTAATCCCTAGCGAGATCGGTCCTACGCTCGAGGGTGAGGTCACTTCAACGACCGCAAAAATGGGTTTTATAGCCTTTTGCATCCGTTTTCAAGTTTGGTATTTACGAATACATAGCCTTTAGGGTTGTAAATCATCAAAGCTCAAACCGTATTCGAATTTGATTTGAAGACCAGTAAAGGCACTAAATTTCCCAAGTCGAATGGTTTTCATTTACTGGGTGTGTCGCGGGAACTGGTCATCTTCGACCAAATTTGGGCGAATCCCACAAAAAGACTTCTAGCGACGAAACAGTTTCTGACAGCATTTTTGAGATGTGTCAAATGCCGATAACAGGACCCACCGCGGGCGATGCCAAATCTGGTGGAAAAGTCCACCGATAGGCGTCTTGCGGCGGGCATTTTTTCATCGGAAACTTCGGAAAAATTCGGTTTTGAACCGGTCCTCATTCGAAGTTCCGAAGATCATCCGAAGCCGAATTCGAAGTTCGGTCTTAGACCTGATAGCCGTAAGCTACCGCTAGCGCAATCGGAGTTGTTCTCGACGCACGTTCTGCGTCGAGGCTGGGAGCAGAAGCATCGGTCAGATCAGGGCTTCACGTCGGACTTGAGACACCTAGAAGTTGGCGATTCCTGTCGCGTCGCGGACTCCCAAGTTTGCTGACCATTGCACTCGCTGTGCCATCCCATGCTGCCCTTCCCGGGGTAGTGAGGAGCTCGGAAAGCGAAACGCTCTTGTCGCGTAAAATGCTTGGGCGTCTGCAAGCCATCCCGTTCTTCGCAAGCATGCAGCATGCGCATCGAGTGACCTCGAACGCGGAAGGAAAATGCGCTCACCTAATGACGACATTTCCCGGCTGTGTAAACGAAGAAGAGCCCCCATTTGGAGCACGGGCCTCGATTGAGTTCCATGTATGCTCACGTGAAGAGGTTTGCGCCGCGGACGAGATGATGCGTATCCCATTCGTTCTAGTGGTATAAACTTGTGCGGCCTTACAGTGTTTTTGGTTGATGTTCGCATTGTGCTGAATTCCCGTGAAGCTGCTCTAGCGAATCGGCGTCCCTTTCATCAAAACTTTAACTCGTTCTAGACGTCGCGAATATCCCACCCAGGTGAACATTGCGATTGCGCGAGCGTTCAAAAAT